ATTTTTTCATTTTCTCATATTTTTTCTTTTTCCTTATTTCCTTTCCCCTACCCTTCCCACTTCCCCTACACCTTTAGCCCTTTTCTTCCTATTTCACATTGTCAATTATACCATTAGGATCTTATTTATGACCAACAGCATTCTTATACACAAATAACAGGTGCTGTGAGAGAGAAATTAGGGAAACAATTCCTTTCACAATAGAATCAATCTAATGAAGGAAGCAGAAGACCTCTACATTGAGGACTACAACATTCTGAAAAAAGATACTGAAGAGGATATAAGAAAATGGAAAGATATCCCTTGTTCCTTGGTAGGAAGTACCAATATAGTGAAAATAGCCATACTTCCAAAGCTACTATACAGATTCAAGGCAATCCTGATTGAAATCCCAACAGTATATTTCACAGAACTAGAGAAACAATACAAAAAGTCATTCAGAACCAGAAGAGACCTAGAAGAGCAACAGAGACTTGGCAGGGGATATCACAAATCCCAACTTGAAACTGTACTACAAAGCCACTGTGCTAAAAACAGCATAGCACTGGCAAAGAAACAGACCTGAGGACCAGCAGAATAGATTAGAAGATGCAGAAACAACTCCAGACATACTCAGCTACCTCATCTTTGACAAAGGAGCCAAATGTCCTCACTGGAGCAAAGAGCCTCTTTAATAAATAGTGCTGGAAAAACTGGATTTGAAACTGCCAAAGATTAAAATTAGACTCCTATCTTTCACCATTCACTAAACTAAAATTGAAGTGGATTAAAGACCTAAATATTAAAAAGAGACACTAAATTTGCTGGAAGATAAGCTAGGTAGAACTCTTGAAGACATTGGCATAGGAAAAGCCTCTATGAACAAATCCTCAGTAGCACAGGAACTAGCACAAAGAATTAACAACTGGGATCTCATCTTTTTTAAAAGCTTCTATATAGTGCAGGAGAAACCACCAACAGAGCTAAGAGACAACCTACAATGTGGGAAAAATGTTTTGTCAGCTGTTCCTCAGACAAAGGTCTGCAATCTAGAACATACAAAGAACTAAAAAAAAAAGCCCCCCCAATATATAAATATCCAATTCAAAAACGGGCATCTGAAATGAATAGACACTTCATACACAATGAAGTAAAAGCTGCAAATAAGTATACGAAAAAATGGTCAACATCACTAGTCATTTGAGAGATACAGAGGAAAACAACACTGAGATTCCATCTCACCCCAGAAAGAATGGCTGCTATCAAGAAATCAACCAATAACAAACGCTGGCAGAGTTGTGGGGAGAAAGGAACCCTTATTCACTGCTGGTGGGAGTGCAGAATGGTGGAAATCAATATGGAGATACCTCAAACAACTAGGATTAGAAGTCCAATTTGACCCAGCTATCCCTCTGCTTGGTATGTTTCCAAAAGAATTAAAAGAATCATATCAATGATATGCTCACCCATGTTTACAGCAGCATGGTATGCAATAGCTAAAACTTAGAAACAGTCCAATTACCCATCAACTGGAGACTGGATAAAGATGTGGTTTCTTTTATAAAATGGAGTACTACTCAGCCATAAAGAATGAGAAACTAGAAATATTTATAGTTAAATGGATGCACACTGAAGCCATACTCTTAGGTGAAATTAATGGGACACACATGAGTAAATACCAAATAGTTTCCCTGGTGTGAAAAACTAAAAATGTAAATAAAATTTTAAATGCTATACTTGATAATATGAAACAGGAAAAGTGCTAAAAGAGTGGGGGAAATAGAAAGGGTAGGGGAAGAGAATAGAAAAATTATGAAAAAAGGAAAATATGGAAACAAAGGTTTTGTAAATAGGGGATGGTGAAGTGGGTGAAGGGAGGGCAGAGGAATGGGGAAAAAAATAAGAACCACAATGCATCATGTAAAGGTAGAAGATCCCAATGATGAATGTAACTGTATTGTTTACCTTAAATGTACCAATAAACTTTTTGTTTTGTTTTGTTTTGTTTTTGAGACAGGGTCTCACTATGTAGTTGAGACTGACCTGGAACTCACTATGTAGCCCAGGCTGGTCTCAACTCACAGTGATGCTCCTGCCTCACCCTCCTGAGTGCAGGAAATACAGGCATGTGCCACCACACCAGCTCTACCAATAAACTTAATGGAAAAAAATTTGGAAAAGTAATGAAATTACTAAATATCTATTTCCCACTAACAACTGACAATTATTTTAAGGTATTTAATTATTCTGTTAACAGTAAGATATTTTGATATTTTGGGGGCTGGGGGAGTAAGGGAAGCTACATTTAAGGTGTGTAAAAACTATACACATAACAAATTTCTCAATTGTGGCTAGTACTGGAGCATAAGAATAGAGGTAGAATCAATTTGGGCAAAATGCATTGTTTCTGTACTGACATTTTTATCATAAGAATGATTATATTTTATAGCTTATTTAATTATCCAAAAGGAGGATAAACTTTCATATATTCATTATTTTTTTTTTTTAGGTAGGGTCTCTCCATCAACATCATCCTCCAGACTCAGACTCCTTAAAAAAAAAAAAATCTGTATTTTTTTAAGTTCCTGGAGATGGGACAATGAAAATCAATTTACCAAAGTTATTTTAGCAATTCAGTATATATTGATAGGTGAAAGAATTACTGGCTTTGATATTGTGTTAATATGTTTCTGAATATTTTGAATTATCTACTGTAAGCAATTATTTTCTGATTGTAAAATGCTTCAAGTAGAAAACAGTTGGCATTAATCTTTAAAACTATTTAAAAAGAACTAGTTTATTAACAATCTTGGTAATGTTACAGTTGTATTATAGGCAGCTAAATTAGATAAAAATTAATATATAGTCAGACTGGAATCTCAAGAAAGTCAGTGTAGAAGATAAGAACAGATCAAAACTGTGGCTGAGCTGGGGATTTAGCTCAGTGGTTCCGCTATCTGCCTTGCAAGCACAAGGTCCTGAGTTAGATCCCCAGTACCAAAACACAAACAAAAAAAACAAACAAAACCTGTGGCTGCAGGTACATCTGAAGAGGGCAAGAATTTGAAATTAAAGTCACAATGGCCAGATTTACATATTTCTCTAAGGGTCAATAATGTCATCCATATGCCCTTGCTACATGCCCTACTTCCCTATTGGATCAATATACACTAAGTGGCTATGCTTACAGTTTTTTGCTTAATTATAGTTTGACCCATGTTGTACTCACAAGACTTTGCCCTATCAATCATTCTTGGAGAGATGACCTTGAAGCAACACACTCTAGACCCCCTCCTGTCTCTCAAGAGCTGTTCCTATTCCCCATTCCTTCTTCCCAATAAACCTTTCCTACTATTAATCTCCATCCTTTGGAATTTATTCTTCGATTTCAAGGGATACAAACTCTGCACATCTGACATAGAAGTTGGGAGTTAGAACTTTCATATCAATACTGGAATAGGGGCAATGAATTTGGCCATGACAAATAGGTTTTAGAGGTTTTGATCTTTCCATTTCTAATTAGGTATGATGAATTTCTATGGTCTCCTTCACCCATGGCTAGTGGAAGTGATTAACTAGTATCTTTTAGAAAGCAATATATATTAAACTCACTTAAAAAGGCTTATGCCTTTTACTCTAGTATCATTACTTCTCAAATATTATCCTTAGAGGGGGACTTAAAAGAAAAGCAATATACAGTAAATTGATCACTAAATAAATTGATCACTGAATCTTAAATACAATTGAGAGTTGGTTTTATTAAAGAAAGTTAAGTTATAGTGCATATTCAATGGAATACTTTGCAACAATATTTATAAAATAAAAGTATTCATGTTAGGTTACATGAAGAATACACCTTGTATGTATCTGTGTCTGGATCACTAAACAAAAATTTGATAAATTCTAGCGCCAGGGATTTAGCTCAGTGGTTCTGCCGCCTGCCTTGCAAGCGCAAGGATCTGAGTTCAATCCCTGGTACCAAAAAAAAAAAGAGATAGTTCTAGGAACAAAGAAGGATAATGTGGAAAAATGAAAATTTTCTTTTTATTGAGGTGGGAGGATTTTGAGTAGTGCTCCCAGTAATAAATTGGGGATCTGAATGAGGATGTAACTCAGCGCCTACCTTGCAAGCACAAGGTCCTGAGTTTGATCCCTGATAAAGAAGAAAAAGAAGAAAGAAAAAAAAAAACGTTGGGGAGTGCTAGAAATATTGTACAGCGTTCTATTTACGAGTTACACATACTATTTTAAGATTACTCAATACAACCTTTTATCAAAAGTGCTTTATTTCAAATACCCCAAGTTTGGAAAATTGAGAAATTGGAGTTAGTGTTGTCTGCATTGTCCATCAATGTATTATTGTACTTTTATAATGCACTTGAAATGTACTATAATTTCCAGAGAAAACTATTGACAAATCCGTTGAGAAGCTAATCTGACCATCAACTATCTCCCTTCGATCTTCGAGTATCTGTTTCTAAAATTATTTCCAATCCATAATTTTCTTTTTTACTCTTATTGTTAAGTGGCTCTATTTTCAACGTGATTTGTTCACAACTGTTCAGTTAAACTTTGGCAGAAGGCTACATTTCTTCAGCGCTCAACAGATAAGAGCAGTGCGCACTCAATCACATGCAAACACGTACAGAGAAATTGTGCAGGACTCCTCTCTTCATTAAGGAACACCCTACTTTCTACGCAGAACATTTTGGAAATACTACACGATTCTGTATTGCTAAGTAATTACAGACCCCCCAAAAAGGACGCTGGGGTGCGGGGGATAAAGACGGTTGCACGCTTTTGTGACATGAGATACCGAGTGAATAAACAGTGACTAAGTCTGGAAAGGGTAGGTTAGCCCTCAAACACCTTTTCTGCTCTTTAAGGACTCTCATCTATGAATGTCAGGTTCTCTCCAGGACCCCGCGGATACTCGCCTCACTCAGTCCAATCTAGCGCGGCGCCGCCGCAAACGTCAGGACGCCCGGCGCTTTCTCCGCCTCTTCCCCTCTCTTCTGCGCCTGCGCGACCGGAAAATTCGCGAATGTTCCTGAAGCGGAACCGGCTGTTTCCGGAAGTTGGCAGCCGCAGTCCCCGTGGGAACGGTGTTTGCTACAGAACAGTTGCAGTCGTGGCTCTGCGGTGTTTCGGCTTTGCCTGTAACGGCGGATAAAGGAAAATGGCCCTGCTGTGCTACAACCGGGGCTGCGGTCAGCGCTTCGATCCCGAAAGCAATTCCGATGGTGAGCAACACGCCCTCGGCCCTCCCTGCACTCCCCTCCGAGCCCTCCCGGGGAGGCCCGTGGCCTAGGCCACAGAACAGTTGCAGTCGTGGCTCTGCGGTGTTTCGGCTTTGCCTGTAACGGCGGATAAAGGAAAATGGCCCTGCTGTGCTACAACCGGGGCTGCGGTCAGCGCTTCGATCCCGAAAGCAATTCCGATGGTGAGCAACACGCCCTCGGCCCTCCCTGCACTCCCCTCCGAGCCCTCCCGGGGAGGCCCGTGGCCTAGGCCCCAGCCCTCATCGGCCGCCTGGTGTCGCCGAGACGGGACCGCCCCACGCGTGTCCGCGGCCGCCCTTACTCTAATTCCCCTGGCGACTTGAACAGACGCCCTTCTCCCGGTGTCTTTGAGTAAGCACAAGTTAGGAGGGGCTTCTAATCCTTTGAGGCTAAGTAGTTAGTACTGGCTGTGATTTCGTGAGAGGAATGGGTTTTGGGACAGAGCAATAGAAAGAGATGTGGGATGAGTGGGCAGCGGGTGATGCTGGCGTCTAAGTTCTGTCTAGTGTAGAAGTGTGAAAGTTCACTCCACCCGCTTTTATAAATAAACTTATTTTAAATCGTGTTTTTGGAAGAAGAAAATGAATCTGCCCTCCGTAATGGTACCTTTCACTAACCTTTCCATGATCGTAGCATGTATTTGTTGCATATTCTTGCTGTGACCTCTGCATTTTAATACCGTGCATCTTCTGCATGAAGTGAGCAAGCGAATGTTCCCTGCACCACCTAGTTGTAGCATTACTTACACATGTAAAGTGAGAGTTAGTGACCACACTAGGTGAACGATTGGAAGAGAAAGCTGATTCCTTTATTCTTGTGGAACGTGACGTTTTCTCGATGTCACCTGGCGTTTTTAATACTTTTTTATATGTCACACATTATTCTGACATTTTATTATCTTATTTAATCTTCACAGCAGCCCTGTGATATATATATAATAGACAAACCATTTAATAGAGTGGCCAACTTTAGCATAGTAGTACTGTGGTTCAGCATTGTAAAGGAGATTAAAATTAATGCCTTTAAAAATCTTTTATACCTCTGAGAAGTTTGAAATAATTGTCTTGGTGTACTGGTAAACCACTATTATGATTATTTCATGTTCCAGTAATATCCTTGGTACAGGATTTCAAAGAAAAGATAAATCCAATCTATGCAATAATCAAGGCAATGCCATTAGTATTTTTATGATATAATTTTATTCAAGGGGAAAGTGCTGTCTCACTATGTGACAAATTGAGAAATGAATTTTAAAGCCCATTTATGTTCACGGTGTGTGTAAAAGATAAATTGCCTTTGTGTGTATATATTCTATTTGACTATAAAATAAGAGTAATGTCTTGTACGGATAGTATTTTCCGGATTTACATTCAGGCTAAAAGTTGAGTGGTCGAGTGGCCATTTATTGGAAGTCAGTGTATCCATGTGTGAGATGATGTAATGTCTAACAATTAAAAATAGGAAGGCCGGAAAAGCCAGAGTACCTCTCATAGACTGAATGGGTAGCAGATACAGCAGAGAACTCCAGTAAAACTGCTGAAAATTTATTCACATTAGCTATGTGGAAATTATTTTATAGAGCCTTAAGATAAATATACCAAGTAAATTGGTTAAGTGGGAGGTGAGGAAAATGAAGATAGACTATAGAAGACAGCTAATAGAAAACTAGACTGGGCTACAAGAAAGTTTTATGGAATGGAAGAGGTTTCCCCATGTACATTGAATAAACAAGGAGTAAAGTTGAAGATACGAACAAGCTCTTTGTTGTACAGAGCCAGATGCTGGGTCCATGGTATTTAAAAATCTACATTCAGTAACCTTTCTTGGGAGTATGGTGTAATTCTTTACTTATTGACTTACTTCATCTGCTTACAAACTTTTCCTCTGTAAAAATTAGATTTCACATGGGGGTGGGGGGTTTAGCTCGGTGCCAAGCCTGCCTGGCAAATGCAAGGTCCTGAGTTCGTCTCCATACCAGGGAAAAAAATTAGACTTAAAGTGATAGGATATTGTAATTTATAAAAACAAAAAAAATTAAGTAGGTGTTTAAAAATCAATTGGTAATTAATTTGTATGTGCTAAACACTCTGGAAAAAGCACGACTTTACAAACAGTATTTTATTTAATCCATGCACATGAGGAAACTGAAACAGGTACTAGTGGTAGTGTTTTAGCCAGGGTTAGACCCAGTATGAAAACCCAAACCGCTACTGTGCTATAGCACCTTACCTATAAAACATTTGAGCAAAACTATTGAGTAAGTCTACTAAAGGATAGGGAATAAAATGTTTGTCTGTTTATTTGCTTTTGAAAGTAGTGATTTTAAAATTTTATTCAGGGCCAGGGACTTAGCTCAGTGGCACTGTGCCTACCTCAAAAGCTCAAGGTCCTGAATTTGATCCCTAGTACCAAAACCAAAAAACTACAAGGCCGAGGATTTAGCTTAATGGTGCTGCAGCCTGCCTTACAAGTTTAAGGTCCTGAGTTCAATCCCAGTACAAATAAATAAATAAATAAATAAATAAATAAATAAATAAATAAATAAATAAAAAATTTTGTTCATACTGGTTACATTGAATTTGATTCAATTCTCATCCATTTTGGCTTGTGAGCGGAATTGTGGAATTAAGCTGTGAACCAAGGTACCACTGTATATGGTTAGGATGTGACTCATTCCTGCTGCAATTCTGCCAGAATTGACCACTATTATGATTTGTCATGTTTCACACTTTTATACATTGTACACTATATGCTTCTATGTGTTAAATGATGAAACAATACTATATTCTCCACTTCCATTCTTTCAACTTCATGTCTTTTTCCATATATAGTACATTTCTACTTCTAAACTCTTCAGCTTTTAATTTCACTGCTATCCTTAACAGACTCTTTGTAAATCATGGTTTACTTACTGTATCAGGAAAATAATCTAACATTTATTATATTCACTAGTGTAGTATCCGTATACCACATGGTAATTAAGGAAGTAATATTAACTGTATTAATATAGGGCAAGATCTTTCTCAGAGTTCTAAAAATGAATCATTTTAAAGCAGCCCTGGGAATCAGAGGTTGTAAAAAACAGAAATTTAAACAGACTTGAAAGATTTAGAGATAGCCTTACAAGAAAAATACAGAGGGATGGAACTGACCTGTTTTATAAAAGCTCATAAATCTATCTAGTTGGAAATAAAAGTGTTTCTACTGTAAGACTTTAAAAATATATTACACATTGCTAATTGTAATAAACTAATTTTCATAAGAATTAAGTTAAAACTTGATGGTATAAGGGCAAAGGGAGAGAGGGCTAAGGAATCTCTTAAACATACTCCATGGATCAGTACACATAAGTATACGTAAGTTTGGTAGTTTTATTAGAGGAGAGTTGAAATATGGTCATATCCTTGGGACTTGAAGTTTTGATATTAAATAAATCTTACTACAAAGAATAGAGGAATATAATATAGTTTGTTATTTTGGAACTATATTTTATAGTGGTCCTACTCTTGTTTTTATCTTTTTGTTTTGGTTTGAGATAGGGTCTCACTATGTAGTTGAGACTGACCTGGAACTCACTTTGTAGCCCAGGCTGGTCTCGAACTCACAATGATCCTCCTGCTTCAGCCTCCTGAGTACTGGGATTACAGGCGTGTGCCACCATGTCCAGCTTTTTTAAATTTATTTTTGTTTTTGTTTTTGTTTTTAGTGGTCCTACTCTTGAATTAGAGTTTAACTATTAATATAAGGCATTTTGTGCTGAGCATCTAACAAATATTAGTGTGTTTTTAAGGAATAGTATTACCTGATTTTTGGAAAAATGATTAAGTCTTACTTCACATGTGAAGGAAATAGTGATGTATACCTTTTCTTTGTTATAAAAAATGATTTTTTTTTCTCCTATTTTGGACCAGATGCTTGTACATACCATCCAGGTGTTCCAGTCTTTCATGATGCATTAAAGGTAGGAACTAGATTTCTTTTTACTTTGTTCATATTTTATAGTAAATCTTGAGATATAATATTTAATTTTTACTTTATTTTTTTCTCTCAGCTTATATCTTCTAATGATCATTGTAGGGTGCTTTAATATGTACTCCACTAAGGGCAAAGGAGACAATAGATTGTGATATTTTCCACTTACAAAATAATTTTATTTTTATTCCAAATCTCTTTCCTAATGATTTCTTCACTTCCTAATGTTGAAATGAAATAGAAACAGTTGGATTGCATCTCATCCAGTCTGTCACTGTTGGCTAATGAACACAAGTCTGAGTTTTAGGAATGTTTGTTATAAATAGTGATGCCACCTTTTCGGAAGCTGAGGTAGGAGGATTGCCAAAAATTGGAGGCCATCCTGGGTTACATAACAAGACCCTTTCTCGAATAAATAAATGAACAAGCAAATAAATGACAGATATAGCAAGACCCTTTCTCAAATTAGTGAATGAATGAACGACCAAAAAAGAAATGTGCCACTCTCTGGACAAACATGTTAAGTTTATAGTACTTTTACTGGAGAGACGTGTTACTAATTTTTCACCTGGATTTCCTTGATGTTCTGGAGAATTGGAGTAATATAGAATTTTTCTGATCAGGTTTTAATAACATTGGTGCTTTGAACTTTGTATATAATATTTGAAAAGAAATGTAGTGCAGCTGCCATGGTTTTAGGTACCACTCCTTTGTTCTCAGGAACATACTCTGTCTTACTTATTTAAATCTTATAGATTCCCTTTGACTTCTCTAATTACACCTTCCAGAGCGTATTTGGGCTCTTGGCATTTAATGGATATGTAATCAAACCTGAACACAGTTGTAAAGCAGATAACGAGCTTATTTTTCTGCTTAGTTCTGAGTTAGGAAATCATTCAAAAGGGCAGTTTGAGATCTGACTCCTTAGATCTTTCTAGCCTCTACAAACCTTTATGGGGGTAAATACTGGGTTCTGGGGGATACTTACCTTTTGGGAAAATTTTCTTTTTCTGAGACTGGTATTTATTGCTTTTCTTTTTTTCTTGTACTTTTTTATATATACTATTTTCCTCCTTTCCCCTCACTGTAGGAATATTTCACAGCTCAGTATTTAGTTTTCTATTTCTTTCATTAGGTTAATTTGTGTTTTTAAATCTCACTAATGTCTTTGAAATCATATTTCTGTTTATCTCATTAGCAGTATAATCACAGTTTCTAAAATGAAGTATTTTTGTTACTCCCACTTCTGCAGTTCTGTTTATTATTATCTATATTCTGTAAACATTTTTATAGGTCTAGACACTATAAGACTTATATTTCACAGCCTAATTTTAAAAATATGCACATCACTAGTCACTAGTTTCCTATTTTACAAGTAAGAAATTAAACTTCTGTTATCAAAAGAAAGATTTGATGTTAGAAGACAAACATTCAAAGAAAAGTACAGTCTTTCACATGAGAAGACAGTTTATACACATACTTAAATTTTATATCTCCTTTTTTATTTTACTGAGGACTAGTGTAAGACCCAGATTAGTATTTGGGAACATGCGGTCTATATTTTGTCTTACATGTATACATCCCAGTATTTGCCATAATTCTGTATAAATGGTAAAGCATTCTCTTTTTACAGATAAACTTTTTTGTTAGGTTTTATTTTAAAACCATTGTATAATTTTTCACAAATTATTTCAAATAAAACATCTTTTCTGATTATTCATTATATCCTTTAAATATGATATTTTTATGAATTCTGTAGTTTTTTCAGTTTTTTTTTTTTTCTTTATGTTTCATAGGGTTGGTCTTGCTGTAGAAGAAGAACAACTGATTTTTCTGACTTCTTAAGTATTGTAGTAAGTACTAAGTTTTTTCCTAGATTATCCCCATGATAATGCATATTTTTAAGAAACTGCACATTTGAGAGGTCTGATTTCTAATATGTTTTGACTGGCCCTCATTAACTGTAACATAACACCTTGCTTTAAAATGGATTCAGGGCCAGGAATTTAGCTCAGTGGTTCTGCCGCCTGCCTAGCGCAAAGTTCAGAGTTTGATACCCGGTACCTAAAATATAAAAATAATATGGAGCTAATCTTTCCTTCCATGACCTCTAAAATAATTTCTCAGCTTTGCAGATAAAGATATTAAGATTTCAGTTACTCATTTGTTTTTTCAGATTCTTGATGAATATCAAGAAGAAAGAGAGCCGGACGTGGTGGCGCACGCCTGTAATCCCAGCACTCGGGAGGCTGAGGCAGGAGGATTGCTGTGAGTTCGAGACCAGCCTGGGCTACATAGTGAGTTCCAGATCAGTCTCAACTACATAACGACCCTGTCTCAAAAAACAACAACAAAAAAAAAAGAAGAAGAAGAAGAAAGAAGTCATAGATAATTTAAAACATTTTTCAGTCAATAGAAATACATTTTTGTCAAACCTGAGATATCATTGAAATTCACTATTGTATACCACTGAGAAAGTTATTGCCCCCACTTTACAATTCAGGAAACATTAAAAAGATGATCTTCCTCAAGGTGGTCATGTAGCTTTTAAGTTGGAAGAACTGAGGCTCAAAGTGAGACTTTTTAATTAAAAGACTTTTGTACTTAAAATGTTGTTAAAGCCTTTTCTAAAAAAATGCTTTACGCAGATGTAAAAACTGAATTATAAATATAGCAAGTTTTGAGTCTTAATGGTTTCTTACAATCAGTCTCTATAATAAAGGTATTTTTATCATGGTATATAAGATAGGTGAACAATAATGCCTAATGAGTACCTTTCATTCACAGGGTTGTACGAAAGGTAGACATAACAGTGAGAAACCACCCAAGCCAGTCAAGCCAGAAGTCAAGACTACTGAGAAGAAAGAACTGTCTGAATTGAAACCTAGGTTTCAGGAACATATTATCCAAGCACCAAAACCAGTAGAAGCAATAAAAAGACCGAGGTATACTGTTGCTTACTTTTGTCATGCTTATATGATAGCATTTGTTGTGTTTTTTTATCATTTTGCACAATAGCATTTGTAGCTACTATAGAGGCCACTATTTGTTTTTCTCTTACGCCTTTAATTTTTCTTCCTTCCTAAGTTGAGTCCATGTACACAGTAAAATTTCATTGCAAATTTGCTTATTATATTATATTACATATGCTATCATATCACACATCTTTCTTTTTCCTTGAATTAGTTTGAGTTTAAAAAATAAAACCATATCACTTACCTTCACTTTGCAATGCCTGAAAACTACTGTTACTCTCATCGTACTGGTGAATTTTTTTTTTTTTTTTTTTTTTTTTTTTGTACCGGAGATTGAACTCGGGTCCTTGTGCTTGCAACTGGTGAATTTAAGTATTTATTAGATTATGTGTTAAAATCTTTGTTCATTTAGCAGTAGAATTAGATGAATCTATATAATCATCTTTGACTAAATAGATTGTTTTTCATTTCCACACGTGTGTATTTGGTTTACCTTACTACATCTGGTCTCCATGCTTGATTGCTGTTTTGGAACCAAACTTCCAAATTTAAACAGGTAGTTTTATGTTCTTCCGTTGATTATCCCTGTTGAATTTTTAATTTACACTATCAAGGTTTTGCCCAACTTTTTTTTTCTATTACTATTCAGTAAATTTAAATTTATAAAGTATTGAATGATAATCAGTTCCAGATAAGAACCTTAGATAGTTGTAATGCCTGTTTGTTCATGAAGATCACTGCTGAAGAAACTACTCAGAATATTCCGTCTCCATTCATGATTTTGAGAGCCTATCAAATTCCTTGCTAGCAAGTTAATATACTAAAAGTGGACAAAAATTTTGCTTAATGGTGTGAGTTAATATTATTCTCTTTAAATAATGGTCTAGTAATACTTAAAGAGTCAGTGGGAGAAATTAAACATTTTATCCTAAATTCTTATTCATTGAGTGGTATGAATATTAGGATATAGGCTTTTTATGTACAGTATTTTATTAACCTTTGTCAGTTTTTTCATTGTGGATATAGAATGAGCAGGATTTCTGTTTTTATTGCCATGGTTGTTAATATTCAATACTTTTTATTGAATAGGCTTAAACAGGTTAATTGCAAGGAGTGGGACAAGGTTTTGCCATTTCATATAGGCTGGCATCAAAATTATGACTCCCCACTCCTCACACCCCCTCTCCTCAGCCTCCCAAAGAGCTGGGATTACAGGCATGCATCACCTTGTTTGAGAGGCTTAAAAAAACTGTATATGCAAAATTTAACCATTATGAAATGTCTCTGTGTTTTTTAAGAAGCTTTTTTGTTAAATCATAGAATATAAATAGTTTATAACAATCTGTAAAATATTTTTATTTGTAATGACTTTATTCACAACATTTAACTTCTCATGAAGAACTTCTATGGTTTTTAATTTTAAGTACAAAGAAATATTTTGACATTTTATAATGATGACAAGGTTTTAAAATTCTCCAGCCCAGATGAACCAATGTCGAGTTTGGAACTAAAAATATCTGCCTCCCTAAAACAAGCACTTGATAAACTTAAACTGTCATCAGGAAATGAAGAAAATAAAAAAGGTAATGTTTAGTTTTATTTTATTATAATTTTTTCTACATAAAGTCTGCTGAAATAAATAGCATTTACTGAATATGGGTGTGAAAATTTAGCACACTGTAGTGAAGCACTTTTACTTTTTTTATTAGTACATATTTGTAATTCATGCAGTTTACAGTCATCTTGGGGAGGGTTATATGTACATATAACAGCTTATTGTTTTTTTTAATCTCCCCCCTTCCTCCTTTTGCCCCCCCTTCTGTAATTTCCCAATTACTGTTTTTGTACCTGTTGATATTATTTGTCTTTGCACATACTATGGCTTACAATATTTACATTGATTAGTGTTGTTAGGTTCCTGTACATGACATATCTTTACTCTTCGCATCTTCCCTTCCCCCTTACCCTTTTCCTTGTTCCTTATTGTGCAAAATCTATCCCCTTGTCCCTTTTTTCATTTTCTTTGTTTGTACTTTGCCTCATTCAAATGAGGGATACTCAATATTCAAGCTTGTGTGTCTGATTCATTCCACTCAAAATTGTTTTCCAAGTGCATCTCTTTTCCTACAAATGCCTCAAATTTGTCTTTCTTTATAGCCAAGTAGTATTCCATTATATATTCATAACCACATTTTGTTTATCCAGTCGTCTGTGGATGGGTATACAGGATGTGAAGCACTTTTATCTAAGTGCTGATAATACTATAGTGAATGTGTGGCTCATTACATTGTCTTTACAGAAAATGAGAACCTTAAATTTAAAAGTTTTCCTTTTATTTTTTTTTAAACTTATATTTCTTTAGTAATTAAAAATATTTCTTTACATAATATGTACTTAATATTTTCTAATCTCTGTCAGATACTATGGGACATAACACCCTTTCCTGATTTCTTTTACAAAGTTAAGATAGTGGACAAAACATTGCACTGTAGAAATGTGTTGTGTATCAGTTTTGGGATGTAGGCAAAACCTAATTACAGTTGTTGACTTTTTTTCCCCCTCAGTCCTGGCAGTTGAACTAGAACTTTTCACTTGCTAGGCAGGCATGGCACCTCTGTGCTATATCCCCAGCCCCTGTGTTGACTTTTAATAAGTCTTGTTTTGTAGGAAAATTGCTTTTTGAGACTAGCCATTGCATTTCTAAATTAATTTTTTTCCAAAAAACAAAAAACAACAACAGTAATGAAATTTCCTTTTTCTTTATTTCAGAAGAAGACAGTGATGAAATTAAGATTGGGACCTCATGTAAAAATGGAGGATGTTCAAAGGTATGTATTATAAAACTTGTGATGTTTTGAATTAATTTCAATTTGGAAGAAAGTGCACATCATTCTACCTAGTGTGTATTGGGGAATATGCTAGGACTCAGGCTATAAACATGGATAAGAGACTCAAAGCATATGAAATACAATAAAAATCATGAGAGTAAATAATTCTAATTAAATTAATATTTGCTACACAGTTAATATGTGCCAGACACTATTTTAGGCGCTGGAGATAAAAATTACAAATAAAACAGAAATCACTGCTTTGTAGAATTAATATTGTGGGCAGAACAACAGATAACAGTGGATAATAACTGAATATTATGAACTAAGGTAGAGATGGAACAAATAATGCAGAGTAGGACCAGAGTGGATACAGTTAGGAAGAATTTAGATAAGATTATCAGTGAAATTCTTTTTGACATGGTGATATGAATAAAGTACTGGATGAGTTGTAAATCTGGAGGAATAGGGAGTAGGGTGAATAGAGGCTTTAGAGCTTGGCTTTTTAAGAAATAGCAAGGTCATTACAGCATAGGTAAGGATGTAAAAGTAGCGTGAAAAAAGGTAGACAATATGATAGAGATCTTTATAAACCATGATGAGGGATTTAGACTTTATTCTAACTGTAATGGGGAGCAGATCTGTTTTAAGGACAAGTTAATTTCTTTTGTGAATAGCAAATGTGTGCTGTTGGAACCAGCTTAGATCTATCCTAGACCTAACAGTGGGATTGAAGAATAGAAGTCTTTCAAGTGGTTAAACATGAAATATAATTAATGTCCCAGGGAGACCTTTTATTGACTACTCATAAGCTTGCATACATGGTGAATTTTCCCTCCCTCTCTCTCCCTCTCCCCCTCTCTTTCTCTCTTCTCCCTCTCCTCTCTCTCCTCCATCTCCCCCCTCTCCTCTTCTCTTTCTCCATTACATTTTTAACCTTATTTGACTCATTTTGCTGCCGTATAATACTGTCCTCCTCAAGTAAGCCTTATACTAGAGTTTTGTTTTTGTTGTTTTGTTCTATATTTTTTCAGTACTGGGAATTGAACCTGGTCCCTGTACACGGAGATATCCCCAACCCTTTTTTTCTTTTTTATTTTGAGGCAGGGTCTCAATAAGTTGCCCTGGCAATTCCCATGACTCAGCCTCAGAGTTTTGGAATTACACGGGTCTACCACTGTGCCCAGCTTTGGTTTACTTTTGTTGTATATTGTGTGTTAGAACATGGCCATCACATTATGCCATAGAAGGAATGGCATAATTTGGAAGTATTGGCAGAACTTTTTAATAAATTGGGTATGAAAGGCACTTCTGGCTCAAGCATCTGGGTGACTGGTAGTGCTATTAAGAAAGTGAAAAAAAAAGGTGGGGGAGTGGGAAAAATGAAGATAGTGTGGGGGGACAAGATATTATTTTTCCCACATGTTTAAGTTCACCTTGCTTATTGAGGGGATGGAAATGGAAGTATTTTCACATGTATATAATGCAGTTAAAAGGGAGTAATTAATTCTTGAAATGAAGAAGACAGTGCAAATTTTAGAGAAATGGAGAAATATCAAAGAGCCAGGCATGGTGGCACACACACCTGTACTCCCTGCACTTGCGAGGCTGAGGAAGGAGGGTTGCAGTGAGTTTGAGGCCAGCCTGAACTACAGAGCAAGACCCTGTCTGGAAAAGAAAAGAAAAGAAAGATCAAAGAGAAGGTATTGAGTGAGTTTTGAAAGTGGGGGAAGGGGAGAATATTCCTAGTAGATGTGATAGCAGTAGTATAAAGAAAATAATAAATAATAGAGATAGTTTAACATTTGCTGTTGTGGAATTGAATTAGAAGGGTAACAGTGCTCAAATCTTAATAGTCTTTAATCGTACTTAGAAGTTAAGCCTTATTTTAAACTATGGGAGACCATTAAAGAAATTTTTCATTGAAATTTGTTAAAATGTGTGCAAATACAAATTTAGAGCTAAGCAGTTTTCATAGTGTAAATATACCAACATTTGTAGAGCTCTCCTTAAGCCTCTTGAATTCATTTTTCCTTCCCCTAGATGTAACCACAACTTCCAGTCTACACTGATTATTAGTTTTGACTTTTTTAATTTAAGCAAAATCACAGAGCATGTATTCTTTGTCTTATTTAATACGTTTGTTAGATTTATCTTTTTGTATCACCATATTTTTGGGCTTTTTCATTGCTTTAAGGTATGATGCCATTGTTTAAATGTACCACATTTAAATTTTCCTTTCCATTGTCCTTTAAGAATTTGTGTGTGTGTGTGTGTGTGTGTGTGTGTGTGTGTGTATGACTTTGGGAAATTATATATTTTTATTTATATGACTAAAATTGGAGTTGTATTATACCTTCTGCTTTAACAGATACTTCCACCTCATCTTCAAAACTGATTGTTACTTTATATTCCTATCAGTAGTATTGAAGCTGGTTTTACTTGTTTCACTTGTTTATTTAGCTATTCTGGTTAAGTATGATGTTCTCATTGTGACTTTACTTTGCACTTCACCAATAGTGAGATTGAATACCCTTTTTGTGTGTTTAATAGGTAGTTGTATATCTTCTGTTGTGAAATGTCCAAAGCTTTTATGTAATTTTGTCCTTTTTTTTACCAATTTGTAGTGATTGCTCATGTATTATCCTATAGGTTCTTTGTCAGGGATACTGTGTATGTTTAGTGTTTTAATAATGGCTTTGATTTTAATTTGAATGAAATGCCATTTATCCATTTTTGCCTTCATAGCTAGTGCGACATCTTATTCAAGAAATAGTTGCTTACTTCAGGGCCATGAGCAAAGAACTTTAAATAGGAGTGATAGTAATTAGTTAATTGTAATATGTAGAGAAGAGAAAGTAAAAGGAGAGACGTGAGTTACCAGTAATAGAGAAAAATAGTGTAGCTAATTCCCTAAGATGTTAGCTTATAGGTAAGATTAGCACACTAAACTGATAGATGTTTTCAAATGTAATTGAAATAGATATTCATTATATAGTACATATAAGTAAAAAGGTGAAACTAAAATTTAAAAGATTTTGCTTTGAAAGACTGAGTGGATATGGTACCATCAAATAAGATGGAAAGAAAAATAGATTTAGGGGCAGTAGTGATAAATTCAAAATCTAATATACTGAGATTTATATAATTATGGAATATCTTTAAGAAATATATGCACCTAGTGCTTGAATACAAAAAATAAACACCAAATATTATTTTCTTTACTTGTAGGTAGCTAATATAAATACAGAAATGTAAAAAAATATAGTACTGGCTGCATCCGTGTTTTATTAACATAAAATTTTTGTGAATTCATCTGTAGAGCCTTCATCTACAGCAGCAATGGGGCCCGGACCTTCCAGACAAACCATGGATATATATATAGGTCTGCAGCTCATTTTACCGTTTTTAGGGATAAGAAATCACCACTCTAGAACTTCCAGAATTGCGTATTAGATTTTCCAAGAGATTGCTATACACATAACTCATTCTGTAATTATATTTATGTCGAGTACCAATCTCTTGGTTTCGATATGTTTCTGTAAATTTAAGTATGTGAATACGGTTGGATGAGATCTCATACCCAAAAGATTGAAAGCATCTTAATATAACCTGTTGCCTACTTTTCTATTTGCCTTTCTCACAGGGACCCAAAATTTAGCCATATCCAAAAGGAAATTATTTTTATTCCTTAATGGGATGGCCTGGATGAACTTAATCAGTGTTCTAAGTAACTTGTTATTTCATGAATATTTTGCAGTTCATAGAGGTAACTAGTACTACGAATACATATGACATGTAACTGAAATGTGCAACTGTTTCTCTTTTTGCTCTTTTAGACTTATCAGGGTCTACAGAGTCTAGAAGAAGTCTGCCTATATCATTCTGGAGTACCTATTTTCCATGAGGGGTAACTTATGCATGACTAATTAAAATACTGTATGGTAGAAGTTAGAAACTTAGTTTATGTTTTAAAAGTTATTTTCTGTGCATGAACATTTGACCATTTTGCTTACAATGCTATATCATCTTAAACAATAACATAAATTTGTCTTCCTTAAACACATGATTAAAAACAAAGTTAGAGTTACTTCATAACCTTTGTGATTTAAACACTCCATTTTTTCATTATCTGCTGTATTTTTCTGTGGGTATTCTTCCACTCTGGGCTAAATTAATCCTTTATTTGAAGAGCCGTGCTACATGTTCAGGACATTTAAAATTTTTGCCCTGGGCAGTTAAGACAGCCTCCATATTTTTTCACAGCTCTCAATAAAACTTATCTTCTATGTTACGCTATAGTTTATAGAAACAGAGTACTATATTAAAATCTATTTCCATATGTACAGGACTCAAATCTGAAATTTCACTATAGATTTAGCTTCCTGCATTGGATTTTTCTCAAGTAATAGCGGATTTCTCCTCTTTATGATTGACAATCAGGTTGTATAAACTAGTTTTTGTTTCATGTTTTTTCTTTAATGGGTAACTGAATATGAAGATTACAAAGCTTTGGTCTTACCGCATTTTGGTAACTTCATGAGGAAGTTGGAGTGTTAGCTCTCAGTGAAAAGCTAACTTGGAATTTTGTGATACTTTAGTGTCTTCAGGAGCTCCAAAATTACTATAAAAAATGGCATTGTGATTTTTTTAGTTATTAGTATTCCTGATAGGTATTCATTTTTAACTTTTTATTGACTTAAGATACTAAAGTTGTATACTTAATTGATTTTAAGAAAAAGTCACACTTGTAACCATACTTATGGATCTAATTGTGAGATTTTATTTCTGAAAAAAATTTTTGTAATAACTTAAAGGATGAAATACTGGAGTTGTTGCAGAAGAAAAACCTCTGATTTTAATACATTCTTAGCCCAAGAGGGCTGTACAACTGGGAAACACATGTGGACTAAAAAAGATGCTGTAAGTAACCTTTACAGAATAACGTACTGGGTTGTATTCATGTCAAGAGATTTGGAGTTATTCTATCTTTAGATTTTTTTTTTTAATTTCTTTCTCATTTAATAACAAGTGACATACCCACAAAATGAAATTAATCTGAATCAAGCTCTCACAGCACTGCTTATTGAGCAAAACAGCCTTTGTGTGTTTATGTAGGTATTTGTATTTTTGTGAAGTACTCAAGCCTGCCAAAATTGAAGTGTCTTTGTCTTTTACTATTAAAATTAACTTCAAAGCCTGTTCCGACTTTTTGTTTTCTTAAAAATTACTGTTCTGTTAATTTGGTGTTATTAAACATTTACACTTCTGATTATTTTTTTGCCACTTAAAATTTCTACCATTCGCAGATATAAAACACTCCAACAAAAGAGGAGAAAAGAAAATTTGTTTCACTGGACTACTTTTGAATTTCTCTGTTACAGAAAAATTATTAAGAAAAAAAGAAAGTAGCCCTACTTCCTTGGAGAGCTTTATAAAAAGACATGCAGCTATGCACATAATTCGCTATAAGCCTATTAAATTGTAGGAAGGAAAGCAATTTATTGCTAAATATTTACCTATTAGCTATTACTGTTAATTTATTTTGTTACACTAAATAAATGAATCTTTTGTGCTATTTGGCACTAATAATCCCAATACAATACACCTTTTATAGTTCATAAACCTTGTCTTTTAACTTATAATTGCAGCTGGGCATGGTGGCCCACACTTATAATCCCAGCATTCTGGAAACTGAGGCAGGAGTTCAAAGCCAGCCTGAAGTACATCTTCCCCATCTCAAAAAAAAAAAGGAAAAGTATACATTTTCAAATTAGTTCAGAGATTTAGTCAACATTTGAGTATTCTGTAATTGTTACTTTTTAATAAATAACAAGGTTGAACAAACTAGTATACCTTCCGAAATTAATTTAATTGACTAAAAAAGTTTCTCATTTATTCTAGGGGAAAAAAGTTGTTCCATGTAGACATGACTGGCATCAGACTGGGGGTGAAGTCACCATTTCAGTGTATGCTAAAAATTCACTTCCTGATCTTAGTCAAGTAGAAGCAAATAGTACTTCAGTAAGTACACTAAATAACTGAATAAAAATTGTACTCTACACATTTTTTATTGTAATGTATTATGAAATACCCATTTCTATTTCAGCTGATTTTAAAACCTTAAAATATTTTCCATGTAAAAAAAACCTAATTTTAAATTCCCTTCATAAAGACTTAAATACTGTTCTTGGTGGTACACATCTGTAATTCTAGCACTTGGTAATCTGAGGCCACAGGGTTGCCTCAAGTTTGAGACCAACCTGAACTATATATGGTGAGACCACATCTCAAAAAAAAAGGAGAAGTAAAAACCTTTTTTTTTCTAAAGCATTCGGAAAATACATAATAACTTAAAAGAGTTAACAGATGGCTGGGGATTTAGCTCAGTGGCACCATGCCTGCCTCGCAAGTGCAAGGTCCTGAGTTCAATCCCTGTTTCAAAAAGTTAACATAATATGGTATTCTCATTATGAAACTTCAGTTTTTCTTTTCTCTTCATGGCTTTTGTAAATAAGAAATTACATTATATTGGAAATCTCTTAAAATAGATTAATATTAATATCAGTATCTCATTTTTATAGTCAGTGCTTGCTATTATAAACCTTCAGTGTGAATTTAACTTTTGGCTAGGGTGTAGTTGAACGTGAAAGGCCCTGGGTTTAATTACCAACTAACCCAAAATATCTAATGAACTTTCTGCTCTGTTTTAGTTAAGTGTGCACATTGTATTTGAAGGAGAGAAAGAATTTCATCAAAACGTGAAATTATGGGGTGTAAGTATTAGAACTCATCAGACTTTTTTCTGATAATTTAAAATACCTCTTGAAGAATAAAAGGCAGTACTTTAGTAAATACTAGGGGAATGTATAGACATATAACATTAATACAGCTTACCAAAAAATTAAATTTGTACATAAACATAGCCTTAGTAGAGGCTTGCTTTGGGTATTATTAACATAAGCAAGACTGATATTTTCCTAATTCAATACTAGTAAAACTGCCGAAATTTACTCTTGATTCTTCTATAGGTGATCGATGTCAAGCGAAGTTATGTAACTATGACTGCCACAAAGATTGAAATCATCATGAGAAAAGCTGAACCTATGCAGTGGGCAAGCCTTGAACTGCCTACAACCAAAAAACAGGAAAAACAAAAAGAAGATCTTACAGATGGAGTACAAGAATGAAAAGCTGTTGCCTATTTTAGAATTCTTAATGATGTGCGGTGAAATTGTGGCTTGCTGCTGTAATCTTGTTGCTATTTTTGTTTGTGAATTTAGTATTTCAGGGTCATCCTTGGGTTCTTAAAAGCCAAAGTCTGGTTATTTTTTTGTCTCTGTCTTCCTTTTAAGCTCAGTAAGATTGACTATTCATTTTTCCTATTAGAAAAATACTTGTGTCCCATACTTGAACAAGCTGGAAAATAGCTCATAAATATAATTGTAGGATTTCTCAGTGCAGTACTGTTAGGCAGAAAAATAATGTAAGACTTTTTAAAAAACTTTTGTCCCAAGTATAAAATGTGAAATTTTAATCAGATATTACATGTATTTTTGTTATATCCATACTTGAAAGTCTTCATGGAAGATCATTGTCTTTCCAATGTGGATAGTTTTTCTAGGAGGATTAGTGCTGAGATAATGCATTAAGTAAAAGGGAGTATGTGTTGACAAATTAGAATTTTTTTACAATTTAATTTAAAAATTAAATCGATAACTATACTATTTACCAAGCATATGATTCAAAAATACAAGAAATAAAATTATAGAAGTATCAATCTGCCTAAAATTCATCATTTTATAGGACTAAGCAATAATTTTAAAATCTCCACTGATTAGTTGTATGATGTTATGAATAAATTATACTTGAAGTACAGTCTAAGACCTTTTAATCTTTTAGTTACCTATAAAAGGAAATACATAGCTGGTTTCCATGATGAAAAACTAAAAGTATAAACATAAAGGTTTGTGAAAATATACTGGAGTATAGGAAAAGTAAATACATAAATTTTGCTTTATGAAACTATTACATGTTAAATAAAATAACTTAATTCTTTCAGAATTTTATTTTTAAAGCTTTCATGAAGAGCTTTATAATTTTAGTGACAGTATTGATTATAGTGCTTAATTTCTATTAAATGTAAGTAACACAGAATTCAGTTGTTTATGCTGTTTGCACCTATTCACAGGTTGTTTTTTGAATTTCTGCAGAGCTCCAAAAGAAGCTGTACTGTACTTAAGAACTGTTACAAAGTTTAGCGCTCTGGCAGAACTTAATAAATTTGGGGATTAGTCTTATATTTATTAGAAGTAAACTTAAAGGGATTTATTTCCAAAACTCTTTAATAGTAATAACATTATTTCAAAGACAAATGCGCTGAAGGACTATTTTAGTTAATACTTTGTATATATCATTTTACTATTGGCAGCAGATAACTATTCTATCTCTTAGTTACATAATATAAAGGTTTAGATCTATTGCAATTATAAAGACAAGTGGCAACCATACTTTGTTGACATTGAAATAACTTTGCAAGAAACTTGACAGTAAAAAGTAGATAAGTCTCTAATGCTGAAAGAATATGTTTCAAGTTTGTAGAGTATTTTTCTTGTGGAAACCATAATTAAGGGATGGGGATTTAGCTGAGTGGCACTGCGCCTGCCTCAAAAGCACAAGGTCCTGAGTTCAATCCCCATACCAGAAAAAAAAAACAAAAAGAAACCCTGGTTAATTTAGAGACAGGGAGTTTTGTTTATTTGTAGAAAAAGGTTGATTAATTTGATTCATGGTCATTTTTATTATATAATTTTAGTGTTTCCTTCTTGAGGCTGCTTTCTCCTGAACATATCTATTATGGTTGAACTGTTATTTAAAGCAAGTAAAATATTCTAACCTCAGATTTACTTAAAAGTACTATTTCTTTTGATATAGCTATATAGACCTGTTTCATTGGTGACAATTTTACTTTTCCTAAAATCCTCTGAATTGTTGCCCAGATGAAAACTTAAGTGATATTTACCTTAGACTCATGTATAAAGGGACACAATTATAGTTAGATAGAATGTTTTGATCTATAAATTTGTCAAAGTTAATAAAATGCTTGTTGACTTTACTGAGTCATTTCTCTTGAAATAGTCTTTTTCTTTCCTAGCATTCAAAGTAATTACTATCATAAACCAGAAAAAACAAGGTGTATTTTGTAGGAAGTAACTGACTTCAACATAGAAAACCTAAAATGGTATTTTTCTTGCTTGGAACATTTGTTAGTATAGAAGAAAGAATGTCCTAAGAAGTTGAGCTTTTTTTTAACTTTTATTTATAGATATTTTATAGAAGAGTTGTAAAAAGCAGAATTCTTTCTTATACATTAATCTTGTGTTAAAAATCTCATAAAACCATAGAACATTTATAAAACTAAGAATTAACCTTGATGCAGTATAGTTCTTTAAGTAGAATGTTCACGCTGTTTTTTAATAAATTTTATTTTATCCTTTTCCTCCCTGTAAGACCCTTCCCCTCCCTTTATACAAAAGCTTAGTTCCACTTTTTCCTTCTACTTCCTTCCTTTTCTCCTTCCCTCCTCCCTTGTTCCCTTTCCAGTTGAACATTTTCTTCCCATTTCCCAACATCCTTTATATATTTCATTCCTTGTTTCTTCTTTTGGTTTCTCACACCAGAGAAGCAGTATGGTATTTAAACATGTGTGTCCTGTTTATTTCACTGAAGAGTATGGTCTCAAGGTCCATCTATTTAGCTATAAATGGCTGAAGCTCATCCTTTATGGCAGAGTAGTACTCCATTATATTTTTTAAAAAAATTCTTTCGTCACTCGTCAGTTGATGGTTGTTTGGGCTGTATCCAAGATTTAGCTATTACAAACTTTGCTGCTATATACATGGGTGTGCATATATCGCTTTGGTATGATGCTTTTACTTCTTTAGGGAAGATACCAAGAAGAGGTATAGCCGAGTCAAATGGAACCTCTAGTTCTAGTTCTTAGAGACATCTCCAAACTGATTTCCACAGTGGTTATACCAGTTTACACTTCCACCAACAGTGAGAAGGGTTCCTTTCTCCCCACATCCCCTCCAGTATTTGTTGTTGGTTGATTTCTTGATAGCAGCCATTCTTCACGGAGCAAGGTAGAATCTCTGTTGTTTTAATTCTTTTAATTCTAATAATTTCATGAATGACCAGTAATGTTTAACACTTTTTCATATATTTATTTGCCGTTTCTAATTCTTCATCTAAGAAGTGTTATTTCTGATGTCCATTTGTGCATGGGGTCTTTAAGTTGGGTTGGGAGCCTGATTTTTTTTTTTTTTTTTTTTTTTTTTTTTTTTTTTTTTTTTTTTTTTTTTTTTTTTTTTTTTTTTTTTTTTTTTTTTTTATTCTGTGGGTTGTCTCTATTCTGTTGGTGGTTTCTCTTGATGTGCAGAAGCTTCTAAATAAGATGAGGTGGCAGTTGATTCTTTGTAGCATTTCCCATGCTGTCCTGGTTTTAGAATGTTTACTTTAACTCCTCTATTTTTAGTGAAGCTATTGAAGTACTATAAGTAATTAAACATAAATTGAAATTAAATTTTTTACAAGTTAGTGGTGTGACTGTATTGGCAAAGAACTGGTTCTAATTAACTTTGTGCCAGGAATTTTCTTAAGTATAACTTGTTTTTTTGTTGTTATTGTTTTATTACTAGGGATTGAACCCAGTGCTTTCACACTGAGCTACATTGCCCGCTGTTTTGAGATTGGATCTTAATAAGTTACTCAGTCTGGGCTCAAACTTTGAATCCTCCTGCCTTGGCTTTCTGAGTATTATATTTATTGATGTGCGCCATCATATTGATTTTCTTTAAACAATTCTTCAGCCATCAAAGACTGAAGAAGACCTTGCTTTCTTGCAAATATTTTATAGGCCTTTGAGTTATAGCTTCCCTAATGCCCACTTTAAAAAAAAGCAAGTCATTTCCAAGCCTGAAAATGTGTATCTTGCATATACCCATGGGAAGTAAACTTCTAAGGACAGATTCACGAGATGGGTCTGCTTTAGGGCATTTCTACCTCATATAATTTTTTTTTTAATTTATTTTCTATAGGGTCTCACTGTGTAACCCGGTGAGGCACTTGAACTGTCACTGTGCATCCCAGGCAGGCCTCGAACTAGTAATCTTCCTGTCTCAGTCTCGCCAGTGCTGGTATTACAGGCCTGTGCTACCACACCCAGTAGGAATTTTAACAGACTTTGTTGTTTAATACCAAAAATAAATGCGAAGTATTTACTTTGTATTCTGCCAGTATCATCATTCCATGGCTTCAGTGCAACTTCTTTTTAGGTTTTACTAATAAATTCTGTTTCACTTCCCCCTTTTTAATAGTTTGATCTCCTTCCCCCAACTGTTTTTCTTCTGTTCTTACAACTTAAATTCATCTGGTGTTGTCCACCTTGCCAGTTTTAAGTAACTATACATGCCCCTAGCTATATGTGTGGCACATATCTAAAATACCAGGCTTGCAGAGTTTTTTTTGTTTGTTTTTGTTTTTTGTTTTGAGAGAGGGCCTCACTATAGCCCAGACTGGCCTCAGACTTGAAGCACTTCTCTGGCCTCAGCTTCTGGGTGCTGGGATTACAGGTATGCATCACCATGCCTGGCTGCATCATGAATAGTTTTCTGAAGGTGTTGTCTTCATTAAATAATCATTAATGATTTTTCTTGCTCTTTTAATGGTATAGGCCACCTTTAATGTCCCTTGAAATTAAAGAACCTTAAACATTTTATGTTGCTTAAAGTTTGTTTCAATTTGTCATCCCTTCTCTATTAAGCTATTCAAGTGATTACATTTATCCTTTTTAAAAGATTTAGCTAAAATAAGTGATTCAAAAGGTAGAAATCTTAAATTTGAGGTATTTTTTTGCATGTCTAACTTCTTTTTGTATGTATTCCCTGGGAAAATGCATAATTTATATTTAGTTTTTATTTAATATCTTTTTTCTTCCAGTATTTTATCTAGGAGACCACATTATATGTAATCATCATGTCTCAGTAGATTTCTCTTGGTTTTGATACTTTCTCAGACTCCTCACTAAGTTGTGAGGAGTATTGGTTATTTTGTAGAATGTTCCTCAGCTGAGATTTGTCTAATGTCGTTCTTATGATTAAATATACTTAGCATGTTGGGGAGAGAAAAACTGAAGAAGCAGTGTGCTATTTTTTCTCTGATGTCTCAGTGGTGTATCTGTCAGTTGGTCAGTTGGCTAATGTAGTGTTTGTAAAGTGTTTCTTTTTTCCATTCCCCTGCCTGTAAGTACTCTTTTTTTTCTCCCTTTCTGTTCATTTTTTTGGAGAAAGTCCCAATATGCAGCTCACATTTATGAAATAGTAGAGAGTGAATTACTTCCATCTCCTTGAGAGCAGAATATCTAGAAGTTGCTTTGAGTTTTTTCTGCACATTTTTGTGTCCTTCCCACTTAATACATATGAGTATAAAGTATAGACTTGTGTATTTTTTGTTTGGGGTTAAGTATTAGGTTGCTTAAATTGTTCCAGGTTATTCACAGCCTTTTTTTGTTTTTTTTTTTTTGTTTGTTTTTGGTACCAGGGATGGAACTCAGGACCTTGGGCTTGCAAAGCAGGTGGCAGAGCCACTGAACTAAATCCCCAGCGCTCATTGTTGGTTTTTGTATGTAGGTGATTAGCTTTGAGAGTGGTGGTGTGGGGTTTTTTGGGGGGAGGGGTATTGTTTTGTTTTTTGCACTTATTTTCTGCTATTTCAGGATGTCCCAAACTCATTTTGTATATTTTCTACCCTTATCCTAGAATCAGACATTTCTCTGATAATATGCTTACTTTTTACTGGAAAATGGTATTAGGAACTTATCTGGGTACTGTTTATTGCTAGATGAATTCGATAGGAAAGAGCTTGTGGAGATGGTGTAGAGTCCGGGTAGTATACAACAGAAGCAGCAGGAAGAAAGGGACAGGCAATACTAAATGAGTGAGGATTTTGAAACAAACTATGGAGAATGAAATTTAAAATAATTCATAGGTTTGGAAGTAGAGGAAGAGGTTAAAAGAACAGGCGAAGATTTTGGAGGAAGTGATCTTTTTTAGTGTGCTTGTTAAATCCAAAAGTCTGAACAAATTGACATGAAGCTGTCCAGGGTATCAAAGTCAAGCTTATAGAGAAGCCTCTCCCATCTCAAAAAAGGACTCAAACTGAAGGCCCTGGATTCAGTCCCCAGTATGAAAAAGGAAAAAAATACGGTAACAATAGGCTCCAGTCTCGTTTCAAATTGCATCCTATCAAATAGTTTACCTCGGGGCTGGGGATGTAGCTTGGTTGTGGAGCTTGACAGGGCGCCCTGGGTTCATTTCCTACCATGGGAAGAAAAAAGACTTCCCCCCAAAATAAATATTTTACTTTTCTGAGAAAAATCAGATAAGTACAAATGTAGTTCTTTGGGATGATAAAATCCTCTTCGGGAGTTCTGAAGCTCTGTGTGGTGCTCTCTCTGGCTCTTGGTGACTGACCTGATGTGCATTCTGCACAACCTGCATGCAGAACTCAACATGCTGGCCGCTGAAGAAAGCTTTTTTCTTAATGCTAATGTGCCAAAATATAAGTAGAGGTCAATCAAAGAAAGTCTAAAAATAAACGTTTGCCTCCCAAAAAACTAGGAAAATGCCCTCGTG